TGGCGCCCAGAAGTCTTCACTTGGGATGAAATTTGTTCACAACTTTTCTGATTCTGGTTTTTGGTGGGGATTTTTTTTTTTTTTTTAAACAGAGCCTCGCTCTTGTTGTCCAGGCTGGAGTGCAGTGGCACAATCTCAGCTCACTGCAACCTCTACCTCCCAGGTTCAAGCAATTCTCCTGCCTCAGCCCCCCAAGTAGCTGGGATTACAGGCATGAGCCACCACACCCAGCTAATTTTTGTATTTTTAGTAGAGACGGGGTTTTAGCAGGTTGGCCAGGCTGGTCTCGAACTCCTGACCTCAGGTGATCCACCTGTCTCAGCCTTCCAAAGTGCTGGGATTACAGGCATGAGCCACTGCACCTGGCCCTAGTTTTTGTAGTTTTAGTAAAGATGGGGTTTCACCATGTTGGCCAGGCTGGTCTTGAACTCCTGACCTCAGGTGATCCACCCGCCTTGGCCTCCCAAAGTGCTGGCATTACAGGCGTGAGCCATGGAGCCCAGCCGGTGGGGATTTATTTATGTATGTTTTTGGAGACAGGGTCTCACTTTGTTGCCCAGGCAGTAGGGCATCATGCAGCGGTGTGATCATTGCTTACTGTAGCCTTGTCCTGGACCCAAGCAATATTCCTGCCTCGGCCTCCCTCACACCTGGGATTAGAGGTGTGAGCCACTACACCCAGCTGTGGGGGGTATTCAGAAAGACAGTCTCCCTAAGTTATCTGTCCAAGGCCCAGCTTTCTAAGGTTCAGTTCTTATCTTAGGGGTCTCAGCAGGAAACAGGGGCACAAACACTCAGTGTTTGCCAAAAGAGGATTTAATGAAGAGACCATTCACAGAGGTGTGGGCAGGAATGGCAGAGCACCTGGGACTCACAATGGTGGGATGGAATCATTACCCCTGGGCCTGAAGGAGCAGGGGAGGGAGCCTTGTTAAGGCACCTGGCCCGAGCTGTACCCATGGGTACAAGCCACCCAACAGGAGCCATGGCTTTTGGCGGAGGAATATAGTTACTGCTGCCAAAGTCACAGGCAGGGACAGAGCATAATAAATATCTTGATCTAGGCCAGGTGTGATGGCTCACACCTATAATCCCAGCACGTTGGGAGGCTGAAGTGGGTGGATCACCTGAGGTCAGGAGTTTGAGACTAGCCTGGCCAACATGGCAAAATCCTGCCTCTACTAAAAATACAAAAATTAGCTGGGTATGGTAGCACATGCTTGTAGTCCCAGCTACTTGGGAGGCTGAGGCATGAGAATCACTTGAACCCAGGAGGCGGAGGTTGCAGTGAGCTGAGATCATGGCACTGCATTCCAGCCTGAGTGACAGAGCGAGACTCTGTCCCACCAAAAATAAAAAATAAAATAAAAATAAATAAATATCTTGATCTCACTCTCCTCCCTCTCTAATCTCCTGCCAGGGTCCCCAGTTTGGCCAAACCCCACCTGAAACCAGAAGGCAAGGGGGCCCAGGAGAGGCTGGCCGTAGGAGTCAGCTCCAGGACATGCAGCTCTGAGAAGGAAGGTTAGGCAAAGAGTAGCCAGCCCAGGGGCCTCTCTCCTCCTCCGTGTTTGGCTTTGCGGAGGGGTTGAGAGATAAGAGTGGCTGCGCTTGTCCTTCAAAGCAGAGTCTGTGCCTGATTCCTGATTCCAGAACAGCTTTGCTCATCCTTCCAGGCCCAGGTACTTCGTTCAAGAGGCCATCCCCAGTCCTGGAGTTAATTTCTCCCATGCATCCCTGGCTTCCCTGGTTCTCAGTGTCTATCACATCACTCAGCCCAGTGATTTGGCAGTATTCTCTGCATAGGTTTTTCTCCCCAGGAGACGGTTCTAGCTTCCTCTACACTGAAAGCTTCTTGCAGGCGTGGGCCAAATAAGGCTGTTTGCTCTGATACAGGGCCCAGCACAGCCCAGGTGCCAATGTTTGCCAAGTGAGCTGAATCTTATGGGCTCAAATATACCTCATTCTGCCTTGCTATATGCAATCTGGGCACATGTGTGTCTGTCTCCCTGAGTAGACTGGGGCTCCTGAGAGGTGAGTGACCCAGGCCTAGCACACAGCAGGCATCAAATATTACCTAAATTAGCCTAAGTAAAACCATCCTCCTTCCCTTCATTCATTCAACTATTTTTTTGGAGCTTCCAGATAGCTGAGCATATGGAGGTTCCTGGAGGATGGTGTGCCCAGGGAGGGCATGGAAGCTTCATGCCCCTTCCTCCGTAACTCTGCCCTGTTTATCTCTTCATCTGTATCCTTTTCAATATCCTTTATAATAAGCCACTAAAGCTAAATATGGCCATGTGACTGAGCTCTGGCCATGGGACACAATCATAAGTGGTATGAGGTGAGCGACCCTTCCTTTTTACTTTCATTGGATAGAATGAGGCATCAGAAGGGAGCTTGGACTGGTCTTGGACGGGTGTGGATTTAGGGCCACAATCTGGAGATGGTGGAAGACCAAGATGGGAGTCTGCATCTTTGGTAGATTGTATTTTCCCAAGATAAAGGCAATACTATATCCTATTCCACAAGCTCTTCTTACATACTGTGACTTTGACACACCCTTCCATTAAAAGGTGGCATCTATGTCCCCTCCCCATGAGCTAGAGGCCCGGGTCTTTGTGACTGCCTTGAGCAACAGAATAGGTCAGCAGTGACAGTGTGTAGCTTCCAAGGCTAACTCAAAAAAATGCCTTTCACTTCTGCCTTGTTCTTTTGGGACATTTACTCTTGGGACTTAGCCACCATGCCATAGGAAGCACAAGCAACCCGTGGAAAAGCCCATGTGGAGGAGAACCAAGACCCCCAGGCAAATTCCCTGCTGAGCTCCCAGCTGACAGACCGCATCAACTTGCCAGCCACATAAGTGAGCTGTCCTGGATGCAAGTTCTGCAGCCTCTGGGCAAGCCCCTCAGCTGATGCCACGTGAAGCAGAAATGAGCTGCCTCCACCAAGCCATGCCCAAATCACAGATCTGTGGGTAAAATAAATGATTGTTACTGTTATAAAAAACAAAAACAAACAACAAATTTTTTTAAGGTCCTACTATGCGCCAGGTCTTGTGCTGGGCTCTGGGGACACAGCAGTAAACAAGACACAGAAAGTCTCTGCCCTCAGGGGGCTTCCATTCTAGTGGGGGAAGCAGAGAAGAAAAGAATTGAAAATGAACAGTATTGTTGCAGATTGATAAGTGCTACACAGAAGATAAACAGGGTGACGGGGATAAACAGTAAATGAGATGAGGCATGGTGGCTCATGCTTGTAATCCTAGCACTTTGGGAGGCTGAGTCTGGAGGGTCCCTTGAGGCCAGGAGTTTGAGATCAGCCTGAACAACATAGTGAGACCCCATCTCTATTAAATAAAATTGTACAAAACCCAACAAAACCAAAAAAAAGCCCACAACAAACAGTAAATGGATGGACATCATGGGCAGGGGGTGGGGAGGCATCAGAGAAGGCTCTGTGAGATGTGAGCTGAGACCTGAAGGAGAGTAAAAGGTGGGCTGGGAAGAGCTGGAAAGGGTTTTCTAGGCAGAGGGAGTAGCAGAAAAGGCCTGGCTGGGTGTGGTGGCTCACTCCTGTAACCCCAGCACTTTAGGAGGCTGAGACAGGAGGACTGCTTGAGCCTCGGAGTTTGAGATGAGCCTAGGTAACACAGTGAGGCCTCGTCTTTACAAAAAATACAAAAATTATCCAGGTGTGGTGGTGTGTATCTGTAGTTCCAGCTACTCGGGATGCTGAGATGGGAGGATCACCTGAGCCTGGGAGGTTGAGGCTGCAGTGAGCCATGATCACACCACTGCACTCCTGCCTGGATGACAGAGACCCTGACTGCAAGAAACAACAGCAACAACAACAACAACAACAACAACAACAACAAAGGCCTGGAGGTGGGGAAGTTTCTGGGACCCTGGGGAATTCAGGGTTTCAGCCTAAAGAAGCTCTGAGCAGGAGGGTAGAAGGGGGTCAGAAATTCAGTCCTGGGGAGAGCCCAAGACCAGGTCCTGGGCTGGGGGTTGGAGGGGCAGAGCCAGCTCCTCTGAATGCCACCCTTGACTCCTGTTGCTTGGTACCACAGCAAACAGCCACTGGCAGGCCTGCCCTTGCTGCCTTAGCTCTCCTCTGGCGGGCAGCAGATGTCAAATGCCCAGCAGCTGAGGCTTCGCCAGCCTCCTCCCCTGGAATAGTTCAGGGGTAAGTCAGAAAATGACCAGCAGCCTCAAAACCTGGCTTTTTCTCGTGCATACCTTACAAGGGTATATTTGGCTGCCCTGGGTGTTAAATCTTCCACCCTCTTGCATTAGACAGAGAAATATAAATATACAGCCACAGGCGGCACACTCAGACTCGAGGATGAATGAACATTCATCAACCCCCAGTCACACACAAGCACACAATCAGAGTTACATGCGGGATCATACGCATGCCCCCCACACACAGTCACAACAGCCAGCCCCACAAAGACACTCCACCATGGCCCGATCACCACACACATTCACCCTGAGATCACACAATCACAGGTCCACAGGCTCACACACAGACATGTACCCCACAATCACCGCAGAGTCACACAGGGGCACACAAGCCCACACACATTCAAGACCACAGCATGCTTCCCCCACCGGCCTCCCAGGCACCCCAGCCCCTGGGGCTTGTTGTAGTGCCGGCATTCTTCTGCGATTGAGTCAAAGACCTCCCCAGACAGGGTGGCTAAGTGGAAAAAGGAATCCGAAGGAAGAACGCCTGAAGCTCAGGTCTGGGAAGGGGCCCAGCAGCTTCTCTCTTGGGCAGAAAGACGTCAGTGCTGGTTTGACCCTGACACTAGTGGGCTGAGGACGTGGGGGGAGGTATGTCTTGAAGTTGACAGAAGTGGGCTGAGTGGGGTGACAGGTGGAGCAGGGGAGAGACCCCAGGAAGCCTCAAAGGGTGGGGCAGAAAGGGGGGTTAAATATGGACTCAATGTGATAGGCGTAAACTCCTCCGCAGTTTTCCCTAACCCCAGCCACCCAGCCTGTCCCCAGGCTCCAGGCTGTCCCCAAATGCGCGGGGTGCGGCCGTGAACTCTCCTCCCTGGCCGCGCCCTGCCCCGCCCTTCACGACAGCTGCGGGGAACAGCCCGGAGTGCCCTGAGGGTGGCTGCGGTCCTTCCCCTCCTGGGTGGGGACCAGAGGGCGCTGAGCGGCGGCGGACACCCCCAAACACTCGCTGGAGAGGGGTGCTGGGTCCCTTTGAGCAGCCCGCCCAACCCTGCCCCCACCCTCCCAGGCTGGACAGTGGAGGTGCTCCTTGGGGCTTCAGACCCTTCTCCCTCCCCCTGCAACGGGACCCCACGAAAGGAAGGGTGGGGAGAAGGTTCGGGAAGACCAGGGGGCTGGGAGGTTTGGAAAGGCCACTCCACGCCCCAGTTCCCACTCCCGCCTCAGGCTGGTCCGGGAGGGGCAGACTCTCCCCGCCCCCAGGCCCGCGCGGCCGCTCCCTCCTCCCCCGGCAGGATCCCCGGCCAAGTGGGCGCGCCCGGCCCGGGGCCGGCCGGGATCCGGTGTCGGCTGCAGCTGGCAGTGCGGCGGGTGCGGGCGCCGGAGCGAGGGGCCCGCGGGCCCGGCTATTAATAACGCGGCCGCCAGCCCGGGGTCGCGTAGCCATGGCCAGCCGGGAGCCCCGGCGCGGCGGGGACGGCGCCGCCCAGGCCGCGAGGTAGGACCGTGCCGGGCCCGCGTCGCCGCCCCCCTGGGGAGGGAGTGCTGCTGGACGGGTTCCCTTTCCCCCCGACCGCGGGCGTCTTTCGCCTGCTTAGGGGTAGTGGTCCAGCTGGCGTGGGGCACTGGAGCCGCCTCGGGAGGGGACATCGGGGAGTCGGGCCGACCCGGGGTCCTGGCACCTCCGTTTGTCTGTGGCTTTTTATAATACCCCTCCCCCTCCCCGGGCTGCATGAGAGTTAACCCTTCCGGGCGAGTGGGCATCCACCGCTCAAGTGCCATTTGGCCAATAGCAGCCAAAGACACTTCTCGCTTGCCTTGATTCCTCCCTGCAAATGTCAGCTGGAGACGGAGGCCTCCCCTGCTGAATTGGCTGTGTGGAAGCCACTTGGTGCAAGGCTGGGCATCTGCCAGCTTGAAGTTAAGAGTCTGTCAGGACTTGTTCTCTCCGGTCTGGCCTGGGATAGATGGGGGAAGGGTCCAGGGGCCCTCCCCACTATCCCTGCTGGCAGGGCACCGCTGATTAGTGGGGAAAGGGACCTGTGGCTGAGGGGTTTGGGGTGAGAGGAGAGTATTTCTGTCCCAGGTTATACTGTGGCTCTGAGACTTCCCAGTGTACCAAGAGGTGAGGGTGCAAATACACACCTCCCAACACCCCTTCACTGTCACACAGGGGCAAAAAGCTGAGCGGTCTTACACACACACACTCACCCATACTGCTGTCCACACCTACAGCTACACAGTCAGACACAGGACTCTTGCCTGCACAGTGTCACATGCACTCCCAGCCACATCCCTGAACAGGGTTGGAGAGCTCTGCGGTCCTCTGGGGACAGGGACAGAGTGGCAGAGGCAGGCTGCCCAGGGCCCAAGGAAGCCGGAGGTCAGGGGCCCCAGCTAAGCTGGCTTCCTCTCCTCTGAGCCTCCTGTCATCTGCTTCTTTCCCTCCTCTCTCTGTTTAAAAGAGGCGGCTGTGTGAGGGCAGCACCCAGCAGAGGCCTGGCACCATGGGTGGGGTGGCGGAAGCAATACGACGTGTGCTAGCAGCACAGCTTGGAGGTCAGGAGGCCTGGGTGCTACTTCCAGCTTTGCCATTCGACCTTGGGCAGATTTCCTCCTTGGAGTTCATCTGGTTTCTGCCTGTCTGCGGTTACAGAGCCCCACCCTAGGATATAGAGCAGAATGAGAACTCTGCTTGTCCTTAGGAAACTCACTATCAGGGAGACAGACACATGCACTTCTGTAACTGGAGCAATAAGTGTGAAGATGTACTGCATACAGAGTATCCTGAGAACACAGATGGGGTTGTCTGGGAGATACTTTATGGAAGAGATTAAGTTTGAGCAGGGCTTGAAGGATGAGTACAAATTTGTTAGGTCGATAGAAGTATATTGTGGGCTGGGCGCCGTGGTTGACACCTGTAATCCCAGCACTTTGGGAGGCCAAGGTGGGCAGATGACCTGAGATCAGGAGTTCAAGACCAGCCCGGCCAACATAGTGAAACCCCGGTTCTACTAAAAATACAAAAAATGAGCCAGGCGTGGTGGTATGTGCCTGTAATCCCAGCTATTTGGAAAGCTGAGGCAGGAGAATTGCTTGAACCCAGGAGTCAGAGGATATATCGTGACTGCTGTGTGCCAGGCTCTATTATATGTGCTGTAGTTATCTCTTTTGAACCTCACGCCTATCCTAGGAGGGTGGTAAATACCGCAGGCCTTCTCTAGCCTCCACCACTTACAACAGTTGTGGAACCTCATGTGAGTTATTTACTCTGTGCATTGGCTTCCTCATCTATTAAATGGGGATAATAGATGAGGATTCTTTTTTTCTTTTTTCTTTTGAGATAGTCTTGCTTTTGTTGCTCAGGCTGGAGGGCAATGGCGCAATCTCAATTCACTGCAACCTCTGCCTCCCGGGTTCAAGCGATCCTCCTGCTTCAGCCTCCCGAGTAGCTGGGATTACAGGCACGCACCACCATGCCCAGCTAATTTTTTTGTATTTTTAGTAGAGACGGAGTTTCACCATGTTGACCAGGCTGGTCTCAAACTTCTGACCTCAGGTGATCCACCTGCCTTGGCCTCCCAAAGTCCTGGGATTACAGGCGTGAGCCACCACTCCCAGCCAATAGATGATGAGGATTCTATAAATGAGTGTTCATGTAAAATGCCTAGAATAATCTTGAACACAGTGAAGTCATTGCAAGGTGGGCGGCTCGGCAGGAGAATGATGAAAGGGCCGTCTGCTGGGAAAGCAGGGACTATTGAATATCAGAGTGGGTTTGGCTGACTGAGCAGGTGCATCCTTCCTGGCCCTGGCTCTAGGAGCTCTGCCTTCCCAGGTAGTACAGGGTTGTTCTCTCTTTAGGTGGTTTTGAGAAGCTGCATTTCTCAGCTGGACACTGTGGGCTAAGAGTAGGAGGTGTAAAAAGCTAATGCATGCTCTGGGATGTCAAGCATTGGGTGGGTTGCAGGAATAATGTGAGAGGCGACTAACAAAGGTATGTTTGGGGCCAGGCGCGGTGGCTCATGCCTGTAATCGCAGCACTTTGGGAGGCTGAGGCGGGTGGATCACGAGGTCAGGAGTTTGAGACCAGCCTGGCCAAGATAGTGAAACCCTGTCTCTACTAAAAATACAAAAAATTAGCCAGGCATGGTGGTGGGCGCCTGTAATCCCAGCTACTCGGGAGGCTGAGGCAAAGAATTTCTTGAACCCGGGAGGCGGAGATTGCAGTGAGCTGAGATCACGCCACTGCACTCTAGCCTGGGCGACAGAGTGAGACTCCATCTCAAAAAGAAAAAGAAAAGAAAGGACACTTCTCAGTGAACTGGCTATACAAGGGAGGGAAAGAGCTGTTTGAAGATTTCTTGCCTATGGCCGGATGTGGTGGCTCATGCCTATAATCCCAGCACTTTGGGAGGTCTAGGTGGGAGGATAGCTTCAGCTCAGGAGTTTGAGACCAGCCTGAGCAATATAGTGAGACTTCATCTCTACAAAAAGTTAAAAAATTAGCGGGTGTGGTGCTACATGCCTGTAGTCCTAGCTACCCAGGAGGGAGACAGGAGGATGGCTTGAGCCAGGGAGGTTGAGGCTGCAGTGAGCTATGATCACGCCACTGTACTCAGGCCTGGGTGACAGAAGGAGACTACATCTAAAAAAAAAAACAAAAAAAAAAACCAGAGACAGGAAAGACCAAAGCCATTTGCATTTGTGCAGCAAAGCAGCAAGAGAGCACTCCCCACTGGGAACTGACTGAGCTGGCAGCTGGGTCAAAGAGCTCAGATGTCGGAATGATAGAATCTGACTTCAAGAGCCTTTGACAGGCTAGAAGGGTGGGCCAGTTCTAACAAGATGAACTTTTACAGAAACAAGAAATGTTGCTTCCAAGCACTTGGTATGAAAAACTTTTTTTTTTTGAGACATGGTCTCGCTCTTTCGCCTAGACTGGAGTGCACTGGTGCGATCTCAGCTCACTGCAAGCTCCTCCACTTCCTGGGTTCACATCATTCTTCTGCCTCAGCCTCCCCAGTAGCTGGGACTACAGGCGCCTGCCACCGTGCCCAGCTAATTTTTTTTTTTTTTTTGTATTTTTAGTAGAGACAGGGTTTCACCATATTAGCCAAGCTGGTCTCGATTTCCTGACCTTGTGATCCACCTGCCTCAGCCTCCCAAAGGGCTGGGATTACCGGCGTGAGCCACTGTGCCCGACCTGCTTTTTTTTTTGAGATGGAGTCCTGGCCTGTCACCCAGGTTGTGGTGTGATCTCGGCTCACTGCAACCTCTAACTCCCATGTTCAAGTCATTCTTGTGCCTCAGCCTCCTGAGTAGCTGAGATTACAGGCATGCACCACCATGCCCTGTTAAGTTTTATATTTTTATTTTATTTTTATTTATTTATTTATTTATTTATTTGAGACAGAGTCTAGCTCTGTCGCCCAGGCTGGAGTGCAGTGGCCAGATCTCAGCTCACTGCAAGCTCCGCCTCCCGGGTTTACGCCATTCTCCTGCCTCAGCCTCCCGAGTAGCTGGGACTACAGGTGCCCGCCACCTCGCCCGGCTAGTTTTTTGTATTTTTTAGTAGAGACAGGGTTTCACCAGGTTAGCCAAGATGATCTCGATCTCCTGACCTCGTGATCCACCCGTCTCGGCCTCCCAAAGTGCTGGGATTACAGGCTTGAGCCACCGCGCCCGGCCAAGTTTTGTATTTTTAGTAGAGACAGGGTTTCACCATGTTGGCCAGGCTGGTCTCGAACTCCCGAGCTCAGGTGATCCACCCGTCTTGGCTTCCCAAAGTGCTGGGATAACAGGTGTGAGCCACCTTGCCTGGCCCTGGAGCACTGCTTTTGATACCCATCCCAATTTCTAGCTCTTGGGGAACTTAAGAATACAGGTAAATTAAAAAAAAAAAATCCTCAAGAGAGTGACAGTCTGAAAGGTGTCACTTGTGTCACAAGGATATGGCACAAATGAAGAGGGCGCTGGAAACCTGGACATGTTTGGAATAACAAGCTGTTTTTTTTTTGTTTTTTTTTTAGACAGGGTCTCTGTTGCCCAGACTGGAGTGCAGAGGGGTGCAATCACGGCTTACCACAGCCTCAACCTCCCAAGCTCAGGTGATTCTCCCACCACAGCCTCCCGAGTATCTGGGACTACAGGTGTGCGCCATCATGCCCAGCTAATTTTTTGTATTTTTTTGTAGAGATGGGGTTTTGCCATGTTTGTTGCCCATGCTGGCCTCAAACTCCTGGACTCAAGAGGTCTTGGCCTCCCAAAGTGCTGGGATTACAGACATGAGCCACTGCACTTGACCATGGTTATTTTTTATTTTATTTATTTATTTTTGAGATGGAGTCTTGCTCTGTCGCCCAGGCTGGAGTGCAGTGGTGCGATCTCAGCTCACTGCAAGCTCGGCCTCCCAGGTTCACGCCATTCTCCTGCCTCAGCCTCCGGAGTAGCTGGGACTACAGGCGCCCGCCACTACGCCTGGCTAATTTTTTGTATTTTTTAGTAGAGACGGGGTTTCACTGTGTTAGCCAGGATGGTCTCGATCTCCTGACCTCGTGATCCACCCACCTCGGCCTCCCAGAGTGCTGGGATTACAGTTGCAAGCCACTGCGCCTGGCCTTTTTTTTTTTTGAGACGGAGTTTCGCTCTTGTTGCTCAGGCTGGAGTGCAATGGTATAATCTCGTCTCACTGCAAACTCCGCCTCCCGGGTTCAAGAGATTCTCCTGCCTCAGCCTCCCGAGTATCTGGGATTACAGACATGCACCACCACGCCCGGCTAATTTTGTATTTTTAGTAGAGATGGGATTTCTCCATGTTGGTCAGGCTGGTCTTGAACTCCTAACCTCAGGTGATCCACCTGCTTTGGCCTCCCAGAGTGCTGAGATTACAGGTGTGAGCCACCGCACCTGGCTGACCATGGTTATCTTTAAGTGTTTAGATAACTTACATAGAAAAGAAGGTTGAAATATCTGATCCTAGAAGGAAGTATCAGGTAAATCCAGCAGCTAAAAGTTATAAGGAAGGGCTGGGTGTGGTGGCTCAATGCCTGTAATCCCAACACTTTGGGAGGCTGAAGAAGGCGGATCACTTGGCCGGGCGCGGTGGCTCAAGCCTGTAATCCCAGCACTTTGGGAGGCCGAGACGGGCGGATCACGAGGTCAGGAGTTCGAGACCATCCTGGCTAACATGGTGAAACGCCGTCTCTATTAAAAAATACAAAAAGCTAGCCGGGCGAGGTGGCTGGTGCCTGTAGTCCCAGCTACTCGGGAGGCTGAGGCAGGAGAATGGTGTAAACCCGGGAGGCGGAGCTTGCAGTGAGCTGAGATCCGGCCACTGCACTCTAGCTCGGGCGACACAGCAAGACTCCGTCTCAAAAAAAAAAAAAAAAAAAAGAGGGCGGATCACTTGAGGTCAGGAGTTTGAGACCAGCCTGGCCAACATGGTAAAACCCCATCTCTACTAAAAATACAAAAATTAGCTGAGTGTGGTGGCACATGTCTGCAGTCCCAGCTACTTGTAGTCCCAGCTACTTGGGAGGCGGAGGCTGAAATGGCACCACTGCACTCCAGCCCGGGTGGCGGAGCAAGTCTCCATCTGAAAGAAAAAAAAAAGTTAAAATGAAGGTTTTAATCTTAACGTTATAATTTTATTAGAACTGGGTTGGGTGCGGTGGCTCACGCCTATAATCCCAGCACTTTAGGAGGCCAAGGCGGGCAGATCACGAGGTCAGGAGTTTGAAACCAGCCTGCCTAACATGGTGAAACCCCATCTGCACTAAAAATACAAAAATTAACCGGGCATGGTGGTGTACACCTGTAATCCCAGCTACTCAGGAGGCTAAGGCAGGAGAATCACTTGAACCTGGGAGGCAGAAGTTGCAGTGAGCCAAGATCGCACCACTGCACTCCAGCCTGGAGACAGAGCAAGACTCCGTCCCCCACCAAAAAAAAAAAAAAAAAAAAAAATGGCATGGTGGTGCTACTTGGGAGGCTGAGGCAAGAGAATCGCATGAACCAGGGGGCAGAGGTTGCAGTGAGCCAAGATTGCACCACTGCCCTGCAGCCTTGGCAACAGAGTGGGACTCCATCTCAAAGAAAAAAAAAATTAATCATAATTGTGGAACAAACAGTGGTGCCTCAGGTATCTCAAGTCCTTGGAGCTGCATAAGCAGAGACCATATGGTGATGTCGCTGGGAGGCTGGCAGGGGATCTACACAGTGGTTGGGTGTGTGTAGGGGTGGAGTGACAGAGTGGAGGGAGCAGACGAGTGGCTGCCGACATCTAAGAACCTGGGGTAGTCTAGGCCCGTGGCTGCTGGCTCCAGGATTGCACCATCCTGGGATTGTGGCTGCCCTTTCACTTTCAATCATTTATTTTGCAGGAAAACAAGAGCAGAAGCCAATTATCCTCTTCCAGAGAACTCTGACTCCCTAAATGAGGCAGAAGCCTTGAACCCAGAAGTTACTCTGTCTTCAGAGGGGTACTTAAACCTGGAAGACATTCTCTACCTGGAGGACACAGGGGACCTTGATGAGACACTCTATGTGCAAGAGACTGAGAAGCCAGAGGAGGCCCTGTATATTGAAGAGGCCATGCAGCCAGACGAGGCTCTGCATGGGGAGGAGCCTGGGAATCCAGAGGAGACAGTGAGTGTGGAGGAAACCATGGAGCCAGATTGGATGCAGTTTGTGGAGGGGCCCGTGGAGCCAGGAAAGCCCACAAACCCAGAGCAGGTTGTTCATGAGGGAGACACAGTCACAAGGGCAGAGAAATCTAACCCTGAGGAGAGCCTCAGAGCCGAGCCGAGCCCCAGCATGGAGGAGAACCTGAGCATAGAAGACCTGGAATTGCTAGAAGGGCGTTTCCAGCAGTGTGTCCAAGCTGTAGCCCAGCTGGAAGAGGAGAGGGATCAGCTCATCCATGAGCTTGTATTGCTCCGGGAACCAGCCCTGCAGGAGGTACAGCAGGTCCATCAGGACATCCTGGCTGCCTACAAGCTCCATGCCCAAGCAGAGCTGGAGAGAGATGGCCTAAGGGAGGAGATCCGGCTGGTCAAGCAGAAGCTTTTCAAGGTGACGAAGGAATGTGTGGCCTACCAATACCAACTGGAGTGCCGCCAGCAGGACGTGGCTCAGTTTGCCGATTTCCGGGAAGTGCTGACTACGAGGGCAACCCAACTCTCAGAGGAACTGGCCCAGCTCCAGGATGCCTATCAGAAGCAGAAGGAGCAGTTGCGGCAACAACTAGAAGCCCCTCCAAGCCAGAGGGATGGGCACTTTCTCCAGGAAAGTCGGCGACTCTCTGCCCAGTTTGAAAATCTCATGGCAGAGAGCCGCCAGGGCCTGGAGGAGGAATATGAGCCTCAGCTCCTGCGGCTCCTAGAGAGGAAAGAAGCTGGGACCAAAGCTCTGCAGAAAACCCAGGCTGAGATCCAGGAGATGAAGGAGGCTCTGAGACCCCTGCAAGCAGAGGCCCGGCAGCTCCACCTGCAAAACAGGAACCTGGAGGACCAGATTGCACTTGTGAGGCAAAAACGAGATGAAGAGGTTCAGCAGTACAGGGTAGGCCCATTGGACATGAAAGGAACTGATGTCTTTTAACCTGGGGAAAGAGTGGCCAGAGTCCAAGGTCTTTGGGGCTGAAGGATAGTGTCACATGTAGGAGCAAAAATTTTGTTCTTTGGGGCCATGCAATTCTTTTCTCCATTCTTCATTCATTCGGGCCCGTGCTAGGGACTAAACGTTGTCTGTACTCTGGTTTTTGTTTGTTTGTTTGTTTTGTTTTGAGAGTCTCAGTCTTACTCTGTCTCCCAGGCTGGAGTGCAGTGGCGCGATCTCAGCTCACTACAAGTTCTGCCTCCCGGGTTCATGCCGTTCTCCTGCCTCAGCCTCCTGAGTAGCTGGGACTACAGGCACCCGCAACCACGCCTGGCTATTTTTTTGTATTTTTAGTAGAGACAGGGTTTCACCGTGTTAGCCAGATGGTCTCGATCTCCTGACCTCGTGATCCACCCGCCTCAGCCTCCCAAAGTGCTGGGATTACAGGCGTGAGCCACTGCGCCCGGCCGGCACTCTGTGTTTTTTTGTGACAGGGTCTTGCTGTCACTTAGGCTGATGCAGTGGCATGATCATAGCTCACTGCAGCCTCGACCTCTCAGGTTCAAGCGATCCTCCCACCTCACCCTCTTGAGTAGCTGGGACTACAGTTGTGCACCACCATGCCCAGCTAATTTTTTCGTTTTTGAGACAGGTGCAGTCTTGGGGGCTCACTGCAGCCTCAACCTCCTGGGCTCAAGCGATCCTCCTGCCTTAGCGTCCCCAAGCAGCTGGGACTACAAGTGTGTGCCACCACACCTGGCTAATTTTTTGTAGAGACAGGGTTTCACCATGTGCCCCAGGCTGGGTTTGAACTCCTGAGCTCAAGCTATCCGCCTGCCTTGGCCTCCCAAAGAGCTAGGATTATAGGTGTGAGCCACTGCGGCCAGCCAATTTTTGTATTTTTTGTAGACAGAGTTTTGCTATGTTGCCCAGGCTGGTCTTGAAATTATGGGCTCAAGTACTTTTAACGGCAAAAGCTGCAATTAATTTTACACCAACCTTAATAGAATCCTCTAATCTTCATTTTCCTTTTATGTGCATTTGTCCCCATCTCTCTTGCATTCAAGTTATTTCTGATTAAGTGTGAGCCAGTTCTAATCCCTTTTTAGAACAGAGTGGGATATAAATACTAAGTGAATAAACAATTACGTAGTCCCTCCTAGACTGTGGACTTTCAGAAGGTAGGGAATACATTTTACTTGTCGTTCTATTATTCTGTGCTACTTAAGGCTCAGAGCACATGTGCTGCTGGGCACTAATGAGAAGACTGTAGTGTGGTGCTCTAAGCAGTGTTTTAATCTTTTGGAACACTGATTCCTGTGGATAAACTTAAATATCTATGTCCTCCCACAGATTTTGATATGCCCTTAAAGGAACAAGTTTCCCTGTTGAAATGGCTGTGTTCACTTCACTGAAGATTTTGTCAAGCTTTCTGTAGTTTGTATTATGAAAACACTCTGGCCGGGAGCACACGCCTGTAATCCCAGCACTTTGGTTGGGAGGCTGAGGTGGGTGGATCACAAGGTCAGTAGTTTGAGACAAGCATAGCCAATATGGTGAAACCCCATCTCTACTAAAAATACAAAAATTAGGGGGGCGTGGTGGCACGTGCCTGTAGTCCCAGCTACTTGGGAGGCTGAGGCAGGAGAATCGCTTGAACCCGGGAGACGGAGGTTGCAGTGAGTTGAGATTGTGCCACTGCATTCCAGCCTGGGTAACAAAGTGAGACTCTGTCTCAAAAAAAAAAAAAAGAAAAGAAAAATGAAAACACTGTGGTTTTGGGGGTCATAATACTGAATGTTTTTTATTTTATTCATTTATTTATTTTTGAGATGGAGGCTTGCTCTTTCACCTAGGCTGGAGTGCACTGGAGCAATCTCAGCTCACTGCAAACTCCGCCTTCTGGGTTCAAGTAATTCTCTTGTTTCAGCCTCCTGAGTTGCTGGGACTACAGGTGCCTGCCACTGTGCCTGGCTAATTTTTTGTATGTTAGTAGAGATGGGGTTTCACCATGTCACCCAGGGTGGTCTCAAACTCCTGAGCTTAGACAGTCCACCCGCCTTGGCCTCCCAATTATTTTTACAGAGTCTTACTCTGTCACACAGGCTAGAGTGCAGTGGCACGATCTCAGATCACTGCAACCTCTGCCTCCTGGGTTCAAGCAATCCTCCTGCCTCAGCCTCCTAAGTCGCTGGGATTACAGGCCTGTGCCACCATGCCCAGCTAATTTGTGTATTTTAGTAGAGATGGGGTTTCACCATGTTGGTCAAGCTGGTCTCGAACTCCTGACCTCCAGTGATCCACTGGCCTTAGCCTCCCAAAGTGTTGGGATTACAGGGGTAAGCCACTGTGCCCGGCCGTAATACTGAATGTTTTTAAACTCTTCATACTCCCCTTACCCCATTTTTAAAAAATTGTTCACAATCTAGTGAAAAGTCATTTATTTAGCATCAGTACTATCCTTAATAGCCAGTACTCAGAGTATTAATGTATTAATGAGATACAACATTAATAATTGTATCTCAGGGTAGAAAGTAACAGGCGATTTATGAGAGGTGCAGGTAAAATGGCTGTGGGATAGATGATGATGATGATGATGATTGTTTTCTGAGACAGTGTCTTGCACTCTCGCCCAGGCTGGAGTGCAGTGGCGCGATCTCGGCTCACTGCAACCTCCACCTCCTGGGTTCGCACCATTCTCCTGCCTCAGCCTCCCGAGTAGATGGGATTGCAGGTGCCTGACACCACGCCAGGCTAATTTTTTTTTATTTTTAGCACCGTGTTAGCCAGGATGGTCTTGATCTCCTGACCTTGTGATCCGCCCATCTCGGCCTCCCAAAGTGCTGGGATTACAGGCGTGAGCCACCGCACCCAGCCGGGATAGATTATTTTTAGCCACTGGCTAAATCAGAGAACTCTTCATTAAAAAAGAGGTGAAATTTGAGCTAGGTATGAAAGTATAGGGAGAATCTAGACCAGTGCTGCCCAACAGAAATATAATGCAAGTTATGTAAATAATCATAAACTTTCTAATAGCCACATTAAAATACGCAAAGATTCAGCTGAGCTAAACCCAAGGGGAGCAGGGGAGAAAATACATAGGTAAAAAAAATTTTAATGTATTTTATCAACATATCTGAAATATAATTAGTAACTTGGCTGCAGGTAAAAAACTTGAGTTTTGGACTTTATTCAGTAGACTGCTGCATCATTAAAGGGATTTCATCAGGGAAGTAACATGATTGCCTTACTACTTTTTTTCTTCTTTCCTGAGATGGAGTCTGCCTCTGTCACCCATACTGGAGTGCAGTGGCACGATCTCGGCTTGCTGCAACCTCCGCTTCCCAGGTTCAAGCGATTCTCCTGCCTCAGCCTCCCAAGTAGCTGGGATTACAGGCGCCTGCCACCATACCTGGCTAATTTTTTTTTTTTTTTTTTTTTTTTTTAGTCAGTCTTGCTCTATCGCCTAGGCTGGAGTGCAATAATGCGATCTCGGCTCACTGCAATCTCCACCTCCTGGGTTTAAGCAATTCTTCTGCCTCAGTCTCCCGAGTAGCTGGGACTACAGGTGCACACTGCCACGCCCGGCTAATTTTGTGTATTTTTTTTTTTTTTTTTTTTGAGAAGGAGTCTTGCTCTGTCACCCAGGCTGGAGTGCAGTGGTGTGATCTGGGCTCACTGCAACCTCTGCCTCCTGGGTTCAAGCGATTTTCCTGCCTCAGCCTCCTGAGTAGCTGGGACTACAGGTGCATAACACCATGGCTGGCTAATTTTTTGTATTTTTAGTAGAGACGGGGTTTCACCATGTTAGCCAGGATGGTCTCGATCTCCTGACCTCATGATCCACCCACCTCGGCTTCCCAAAGTACTAGGATTATAGGTGTGAGCCACTGAGCCCGGCCAATTTTTTGTATTTTAGTAGGGACGGGGTTTCACCGTGTTGCCCAGGCTGGTCTTGAACTCCTGAGCTCAGGTAGTCTGCCCGCCTCAGCCTCCCAAAGTGCTGGGATTACAGGCATGAGTTACCGGGCCTGGCCTTAGTTTTTATATTTTTGGTAGAGATGAGGTTTTACCACGTTAGCCAGCTGGTCTCAAACTCCTGACCTCAGGTGATCATCCTGGCTCAGCCTCCCAAAGTGCTGGGATTACAGGCTTGAGCCACTGCCTGCCTCTACTTTTTTTTTTTTTGGAGATGGAGTCTTGCTCTGTCACCCAGGCTAGAGTGCAGTGGCATGATCTTGGCTCACCGAAATCTCCGCCTCCCGGGTCAAGCGATTCTTCTGCCTCAGCCTTCTAACTGGGATTACAGGTGCCCGCCATCATGTCCCGCTAATTTTTGTATTTTTAGTAGAGATGGGGTTTCACCATCTTGGCCAGGTTGGTCTCCAACTCCTGACCTCGTGATCCACCCGCCTCAGCCTCCCAATGTGCTGGGATTACAAGAAGTACTGGTGCAGGATGTAAAGTGGGCTAGAGATACAGAGCAATGGAGAATAATTAGAAAGCTACTCTAAGGAAGAGGTTAAGATGGTTTCAGATTTGATGATTTGTGCATCTTTCCAAGGATCGTTTTCCAAAGATAATCTTACGACACAAAGTTTTAAAAAAAATATTCAGAAGTCTGTTTGTCTATCTCTATCAAATGAATCTTTCTTTCTATTGATAGGAAGTCTTGGTCTTCCTGCCTCAGCCTCCCAAGTTGCTGAGATTACAGGTGTGAGCCACCTTGTCTGGCCTGAAACACTCTTGGTAGTATAATAGCTTCTCTTGTTGCTATACCATCATTAAAGTAGAAATCAAGGTCTGAAGGACCTAATTTTTCTTTCTGAAGTGGCTTCCTAAACTGTTTGCTAAATTTCTATTTCATCAACTTACTTTTTGTTTTGTTTTGTTTTCGAGACGGAGTCTCGCTCTGTTGCTAGGCTGGAGTGCAGTGGCATGATCTTGGCTCACTGCAACCTCTGCCTCCTGGGTTCAAGCGATTCTCCTGCCTCAGCCTCCCGAGTAGTTGGGACTGCAGGCTCACGCCACCACACCCAGCTAATTTTTGTATTTTCAGTAGAGATGGGTTTCACCATGTTGGCCAGGATGGTTTCGATCTCCTGACCTCGTGATCCACCCGCCTCGGCCTCCCAAAGTGCTGGGATTACAGGCATGAGCCACTGCGCCCAGACCATCAGCTTACTTCTTAAGGGTGTCCCTTTAATCCTTAGGCTGTACTCCACTCTTAACGATGGCAAAGTTTGCCTCTGTCATCACCTTCATCATCAATTCATTCAAGTTTCTAAGTGCCTAACTACTCTGGACCAGGCAGTGAGCTAAGTGCTGGCAATACCAATTAGAAATAGTATGTGTGCCGGGCGCAGTGGATCATGAAGTCAGGAGTTCAAGACCAGCCTGGCCAAGATGGTGAAATCCTGTCTCTGCTAGAACTACAAAAAAAAATTAGCCAGGTGTGGTGGTAGGCGTCTGTAATACCAGCTACTCGGGAGGCTGAGGCAGAATAGCTTGAACCTGGGTGGCAGAGGCTGCAGTGAGCTGAGATTGTGCCACTGCACTCCAGCCTGGGTGACAGTCACTCACCTCAAAAAAAAAAAAAAAAAAAAAAAAAAAAAAAGCCGGGTGTGGTGGCTCACGCGCCTGTAATCTCAGCACTTTGGGAGGCCAAGGCGGGCGGATCACAAGGTCAAGAGATCGAGACCATCCTGGCCAACATGGTGAAACCCCGTCTCTACTAAGAAATACAAAAATTAGCTGGGTGTGGTGGCAGGTGCCTGTATTCCCAGCTTCTCGGGAGGATGAGGCAGAATCGCATGAACCTGGGAGGCAGAGGTTGTAGTGAGCTGAGATTGTGCCACTGCGCTGTAGCTGGAAAAGAGCAAGACCCCGTCTCAGAAAAGAAAAAAAAGAAAATATTGTGTGTGTGTGTGTGTTGGGGGGTGGGGGTAACGCTCCTGCCCTCAAAGAGTTTGTACTCCAGAGGCCAGGCGTGGTGGCCCATGCCTGTTATCCCAGCACGTTGGGAGGCAGAGGAGAGTGGATCATGAGGTCAGGAGATCGAGACCACCTGGCTAACTCGGTGAAACCCTGTCTAGCTAAAAATACAAAAAAAAATTAGCCAAGAGTGGTGGTGCATGCCTGTAATTCCAGCTACTCAGGGACTGAGGCAGGAGAATCGCTTGAACCCACGAGGTGGAGGTTGAGATCGTGCCACTGCATTCCAGCCTGGGCGACAGAGACTCTTTTTTTTTTTTTTTTTTTTGAGACGGAGTCTGGCTGTGTCGCCCAGGCTGGAGTGCAGTGGCCGGATCTCAGCTCACTGCAAGCTCCGCCTCCCGGGTTTACCCCATTCTCCTGCCTCAGTCTCCCGAGCAGCTGGGACTACAGGCGCCCGCCATCTCGCCCGGCTATTTTTTAATATTTTTTAGTAGAGACGGGGTTTCACCGTGTTAGCCAGGATGGTCTCGATCTCCTGACCTTGTGATCCGCCCATCTCGGCCTCCCAAAGTGCTGGGATTACAGGCTTGAGCCACCGCGCCCAGCGAGACTCTGTCTTAAAAAAAAAAAAGAAGTTTGTACTCCAGTATGAGGCGTAACAGATAAAATGAATGTATTTCATAAAATCTAAGCACTGTTGATTTTTTTTTTTGAGACGGAGTCTCGCTCTGTCGCCCGGGCTGGAGTGCTGGGGCCTGATCTCAGCTCACTGCAAGCTCCGCCTCCCAGGTTTTCGCCATTCTCCTGCCTCAGCCTCCCGAGTAGCTGGGACTACAGGCGCCCGCCACCTCGCCCCGCTGTTTTTTTTTTTTTGTATTTTTTAGTAGAGATGGGGTTTCATGTTGGCCGGGATGGTTTTGATCTCTTGACCTCGTGATCTGCCTCTCCAAAAGTGTTGGGATTACAGGAATGAACCACCGCGCCTAGCCTATTAAAGTTTTGGGGTTTTTTGGAGACGAAAGTCTTGCTCTTGTCCCCCAGGCTGGAGTGCAATGGTGTGATCTCAGCTCACTGCAACCTCCGGCTCCCAGGTTCAAGTGATTCTCCTGCCTCAGCCTCCCTAATAGCTGGGATTACGGGCACCCACCACCATGCCTAGCTTATTTTTTGTGTTTTTAGTAGAGACTGGGTTTCACCATGCTGGCCAGGCTGGTCTCGAACTCCTGACCTCAGGTGATCCGCCTGCCTCGGCCTCCCAAAATGCTGGGATTACAGGCACGAGCCACCATGCCTGGCCAGTTTTATGTATTCTTTAGACCAGTGGTTTCCAAAACTAAAGTTTTCTCTAAAGCTATGGACCTTCTCCCCCAGAGAATTGTAGGTAGAATGTCAATATATACACCAGGTAAAAGTGAGTTATTCTCTAACTGGAAAGTACCAAGGGCCCTCCAATTTGGCCATCTTTTGGGGTTGCACAGAAAAGTCTGAGAACCACTAAAAAGCCTATTACCTTGAGTATGAGCTCTAAGCCAACAGCAAATCCTAGCTCTATCACTAAGTTGGAAACTTTGGACAAATTATTTAAGCTCTGTGGCTCAGCACCCTCACATGAAACATGAGATTAATAATACTCCCATATCCATAGGATTGCAAGGAATGAACTAGTAAGCCACTTTCCCACAATTCCATGACTATACATTGACTAGACCTCTTTTTCGCCTTTAACTCTTACTCATCCTTTAAACCCGTTTCCCTTCTTCCTGGTTTCCCGACAGGAGCACCTGTTACTTCATACTATTGCTGTAACAGTTTCACTTCTGAGTTGGGGAATGAATCCTGTCTTTGGCCTATATAGAAAATTAAAATTGGGAATGCTGTCAATGCAAGTGCTGGGGCAACTGTAGACAGACATGTTAGTATGTCTGAGAAGTTAGTATGTAGTTAGTATGGCCCTTGAGAAGTTAGTATGTAGGTTAGAAGGTGGCAAAAAACAAGGGACTGTTTGTCTAGGTGAAAGAAGTGGCAGGAACACAGGCACAGAGATCTGAGTTGGTCAGGCTTCAGTAGTGCTATCACTGCAAGCCACAGATGTCATTTTAAATGTTCTGGTAGCTCTATTAAAAAAAAGAAACAGGTGAAATTAACTTCAATGCATTTTATTTAACCCAACACATATTTCAACATGTAATCAGTATCAAATATTGACGTATTTTACATTCTTTTTGTGTGCTATCTTAGAAATCTGCTGTGTATTTTACACTTACATCACATCTCAATTGAGACTAGTCATATTTCAAATGAGTCATACGTGACTAGTGGCTTCGGTACTAGTAGTCCAGGGCTAGAGGAAAATGTTCATATGGAAGAGTAAGAGGTTCAAGCTGGAGGTAGGGGTCAAACTAGAGGGGGTCTGAATGCCACTAAATAAAGTGGAAAGCCTTTGAAGGACTGTGAGTTGACTGGAAAGTTAATCTAGTGGTTAACACAGGATTAAGAGACACCATCCTTAATGCCACTGTAGCGATCCTTTCTTCATTTCATTGAGGCTGCTGCACTCTGTCACAGCTTATCACTGGTGGTGCAGACTGCTTTTCCAAGCATGCACTTTTGTGCCTTAACAACAGGTCTGGTATGTAGTGAGGACTGAGAAATCAGGACAGCAGTATGCAGATGCTTCCCTCTTTAGACGACACACTCTTAGGCATGGCTGGGCACTAAAAAAGGTCCTTGGACAACGTTGGTGAAAGCTGAGATTCAGCCAGAGTATCAAACAGTGCAGGCTGATGTGCCACAGGTACATGTCAAGTATAACTCAGAGGACAAATTATCTAGATCCTTTTCATAATAGCATTTACCCCAACTGGACTCCTTAGTAGTCTTTAAAATGAGGTAAAGTTACTCTCCCTTTAAAAGATACCAACTTCACCCATTCCTCTCTTCCCGACTCCCTCCCACCTCCTTAAGGATCCATGCCAGCTAGCAGGTAAACCAGAGACTGACTTGCTGACATCTTCCTTACCTTATTCCTCAGGTATATATCCTAGGCAGGGACAATTTACAGAATGCATCCCAACCTGGTTTTGTAAGAATAAGAAAGTTATCTAAGGGCTCCCAAGGGTCTCCTGTGCATAGCATCTTCATCTTCCAACTTAGAACAACTAAACAAATTCAGTCTTTTTGTGTAATGAAAAAAGGATGAGCTGGGCACAGTGGCTCACACCTGTGATCCCAGCACTTTGGGAGACCAAGGGTGGGAGGATTGCTTGAGCCCAGGAACAAGACCAGCCTGGGCAACATAGCGAGACCCTGTCTCTATAAAAAAAAAATAAATAAGAAGAAAAAAGGATGCAGGAAATGAACAACTAGGATAGCCAACACCCTCACTAAAGCATCAATTTCCACATGATGTTAAGGTAAGTACCAAGTAGAAATATCTCTGACTTTAAGAAGCTTTGGACACAAAAACTTTTCCTTAAACAAGCCATTTATTTTCTAAACATGGACTTCCACTAGTTGTGTAACTCTCCTAGAATTCTAGCCAATATTTAATAATTGTTGCCATACTTTAAGTAGTATATTGTTAAAAACTACCAGTTATCTTAAACTTGCACATGGAGGGAGAAGTATATGAAACTCTCAGTTCACTAACTAGACCAAAGTCCTCCTCAATGACACTAAGGTTGTAAAAAGTCCCCATCACCCTCCCAGGAGTCTATTAAGCTGTGGTTAACAGACAAGATTCCTTTTAGGTCACCATTTTCAAAAGCACTGTCACTTTTTTTCCAAGGCCAACCTCTCTGAACCTCTGTTTCGTAACCTATCATATAAATGCTGCTCAATACTGCTACGAAGATTAAACAATGAACAAAAAAGTGTTTTATAAATAAGAGTGGACAATGTCAGGTTTTTATTGTTTCGCTCATTAGAAATGTTCTTGGCCATCTCATGCAGGAACAGCTGGAGGAAATGGAAGAACGCCAAAGGCAGTTAAGAAGTGGGGTGCAAGTCCAGCAACAGAAGAACAAAGAGATGGAACAGCTAAGGCTCAGTCTTGCTGAAGAGCTCTCTACCTATAAGTCAGTTTCCGCTGCTACACAAATCTCATCTAACACTGGCTGAGGGGATGGTGGAAGGGCTTAGGGAAAATTTTACTTTAGAGTCAAAAACAAAAGGATTTGGGAATGATTTTCAAATTGTGCTTATCCAGAAACACATGGAAAATGGCTCTCTTCTTTTAAAGGGCTATGCTACCCAAGAGCCTGGAACAGGCTGATGCTCCCACTTCTCAGGCAGGTGGAATGGAAACACAGTCTCAAGGTGATCTTTGTGGAGAGAAGAGTGGTGTTTGCATTGTTACTGCTTTCCTAACAATACTAATTAATGTCTTAAAAACAACAGGCCGGGCGGGGTGGCTCATGCCTGTAATCCTAGGACTTTGGGAGGCCGAGGTGGGCAGATCATGAGGTCAGGAGTTCAAGACCAGCCTGGCCAAAATGGTGAAACCCCTTCTCTACTAAAATACAAAACTTAGCTGGGCATAGTGGGCATAATCCCAGCTACTCAGGAGGCCAAGGCAGGAGAATCATTTGAACCGGGAGGCAGAGGTTGCAGTGTGTCAAGATCACAATACTGCACTCCAGCCTGGACAACAGAGTGAGATTCTGTCTCAAAAAACAAAAACCCAAAAAACAAAAACAACAAAAAAACCCTTAAGTGTGTGCCTAATGACAAGGGGATAACCCAAATCTCCAAAATCCCTGGGTCAGGCATTCAGAGTTCATTTGGAATGTTTCAGTTTCTAGTAGGACTCAAAATATGCCCTATCACCACAAATTCTGTGGCATCTAGGCTTTGGGCATCTTGTTTCCTCACCCTACCCTACCCACCCGCTGTTCTCAGTTTTCCTTACAATAGCAGAGAAGGCAGTTGTGCTATCAAAAATAATAAACATATCTATCCATTAATTTCCTTATTTAATATTCAAAGGCTGTGGTTTTGGGTAGAAGCAGAGACGTTCATATTACACAGACTTACCTTTTTTTTTCTTTTTTTCGAGACGAAGTCTTGCTCTATTGCCAGGCTGGATTCAGTGGCGTGACCTCTGCCTCCCGAGTTAGTGATTCCCCTACCTCAGCCTCCCAAGTAGCTGGGATTACAGGCACGCACCACCACGCCTGGCTAATTTTATTTTAGTAGAGACGGGGTTTCACCATGTTGGCCAAGATGGTCTCGATCTCCTGACCTCGTGATGCACTCGCCTCGGCCTCCTAAAGTGCTAGATTATAGGTGTAAGCCACCGTGCCTGGCCCACCCAGACTTACTTTTAGACACTGACAAAACTGAAGGCATCTTTCTGACCAATCACCTATTCAGGATCCCTCCCCAAATGTTTTACTAGTATATTCTCATAGAAGTTCCAGAGTCCCTTAAAGAAACTAAGGATAAAAGTCCGTGTCAAGTTGTATATTATACAGATGCCTATATATTTTATTTATTTCCTAAACTTACGTCAAATTCACAAGTAACTTTTTTTTTTTTTTGAGACAGAGTCTTGCTCCACCCAAGCTGGATGGAGTGCAGTGGCTCGGTCTCGGCTCACTATAACCTCCGCCTCCTGAGTAGCTGGGACTAGAGGTGTGTGCCACCATGGCCGGCTAATTTTTGTATTTTTAGTAGAGACGGGGTTTCACCATCTTGGCCAGGCTGGTCTTGAACTCCTGACCCCGAGAGATCCACCTGCCTCAGCCTCTCAAAGTGCTGGGATGACAGGCATGAACCACTGTGCCTGGCCCACAAGTAACTATTGTTGCTTTTTCTAATTTTCTAGGATATTATTATTTTTTAAAATTTCTTTTTAGTAGAGATGGGGGGTCTTGCTATGTTGCCCAGGCTGGAGTAGTGGCACGATCTTGGCTCACTGCAACTCTGTCTCTTGGGTTCAAGCAATACTCCTGCCTCAGCCTGCTAAGCAGCTGGGATTACAGGCATGCGCCACCATACCCAGTCTTGAGGATTTTCTTAAACTGTGTTTGAATCCACATGACTGATAATATGCCTAATGTTTGTGAAATTATAACCTTGCAATTGAAGTCAATGATCTGCTAGCTATCTTTGTGTGGATCAGATTAAAAGTACAATCTGGAAAAGACAATGACTAATCCAAAGAAATGAAACTAAAGAATTTCAGGCATTGTAATTATACCTGTGAGAAGTTAACGTACCAGAGAAAACGTTTAACTATCCCTCCCGTCACCATCACATAGGTTATCATTCACTCTATTTCACAAACAGGAGGCATCCAAATATTTGCTAGGGGAAAGTCATCCCTGATCATCCATAAATCACACTGTAACAACCTCTCCTCAACAAAGCCTGCAGTAACTAAACCTCAGAAGTTCATTATTACAAACTTTTTCTTTTTCTTTCAACCTTACAGGGGCTGTTTAGAAATATATGGCCAAATCTGTAACCCAGAAACAGCAAAAAACTTCTTAGCAAAGGATCACTAAGTACCCTCTGGACGTTCTCTTCCAAACAGACAAGAGTGCCAGGAACTTGGCAAGCATTTCATCCTGTGGAAGTTGCAAATACTGGCTGACCTGCTTAAAAAAAGATTGTAGAGTTCGCTGGAGGCAGAACACCAGTCAACTCTTTGCTGGATTCTATTTCATCTGCTGTTGATACTGATCTTAACACACTATGGAAAGGAAAAATGAGCCTCCTATCTTCCAGCAGCAACCCTCACACGCACTGAGTAAAGGATGAACGTATGGACGCATCTTGGAGTATTTTAAAGAATGTATCTTGCTTTGTGTTGACCCAAACCAAAAACATTTTTGAGGGGCACATGTGGGGTCAAAAAAATAGCCAATTTCCATTACATGGATTTACAATTTCCTTTCTTTTGTGCCATGAGTGTTAGAATTTAAATGAATACTTTTACAAAGTTTACTTTTTGCTAAAGGATATACATATTGTCTACTCTTAAAATTGTGTCAATTTAATTTTCACTATACTCTAAAACAACTAGACTTGAAGAAAAGAAACCAATCAAGATTTGAATCTAATGGTTAACGCTATTCAGATTTTCCCAAGGATCTTACCTCATCAAAGTGGTTTTGGGTCAGAATGATCTACTCAGTTAAAAAAAAACAACAAAAAACTAAGTGGAAAAAACCAGGCATTTTATCTGGTTATTGCATCTGGTGATAAGAGGCTTTCAAAGCTTATTATTTCTAACCTCTAAGTAAAGGCCCCAGTGAAAAACATACTGGGGAGACAAAACCTCTCTCTGAGAAAAGGTTCAAGCACCTTTTCCAAATTTAAATTTTGCCTTAAATTCTCTCTACCACACTGCCTTTGACACTCTTGAAAGTCCATGTAGTTCTCTAGAGATCGACTTCAAAGAAACGTTACCTTATCAAAGACTAATCTGTGCCACCTCTGATTCAGTGTTTTATGTCTTTCACTTTCCCTGTCAAGGAGTAAAGCTCTTTTCTACAGCTCTGGGACTATTATATTTAATTCTGCTCTTGATAGTCAAAGACCACAGAAAACAACTGTCATCTGAAGGACTCTTCTAGAAGTCAGAGACTGGTGTTTGATGGATGTTTTATACTAAATAAAACCCATCAGCATGGGGTTATGTAGAAAAGCAATTTATTCCATTTTAAGCACTTACACAGTTAGTCATGGAGAGTAACAGGCCTGCTGGTGAAACAGGTCACGCAAAATGGAGATGGCATCAAACTAGTGGTCAAGGACTAACTCCTAAAAAAAAGCAACTCTTATCAAGGATTAATTTAATTTTTAAAACAAATACAAGTTATTGATTCACTCTTCTCAACTTGACAGTCTGCCTGTGGTGTAACTGTCAGGTAAAAACATACATCTTTACAACTTGGTGGTCCCAAGTTAAAAAAAAAAAAACAACAAAAAACACACCATTTCACAGACAGGAAAGAAACAACATGAAAACAGCTGAAGAAATACACTAACGAGCAAAAATATATGAATATATGGGGAAAGAGGAACATGTAGTTTTGACTTAACTGAGGAAACCAAGAGGAAACTGGTCTACATATGAAAATGTGCATCCTGGAAAGTCAGGTGTCAAGATTTTCGAGTAGGAATCTATATGACTTGAATCTCCCCTATTTCCTGAATAAAAGTGACATCTTTCAGTATTTATACTTCATGGCTCAGACACCTACCTCATTTGGCTCTATTCCTTACTCACTCTAGCTTTTACTTAAATGAGTCTGAAAAACTTGGGGATATATAGCATAAGAAGAAAAATAATCACACATAATATTCCCCCTTCTGTAGCTACTTTAGACCTGGGTTACTAGAAAATTCCTGAAGAAAATTTCAACGTAAGTCTGTGGCTTTGCTGAATCAAGCCCCCCCATTAATATTTAGAAAACACCCATTGTTTGGGCTAATAGCATTATTGGTGGTACCTATTATAGAGAGGGATAGCTGAACAAAGTCTGTCTCAAAACCAGTGTTAAATCACTCTCAGGGTTGAGAAGAAAAAAGGGGAGTCTAAAAATCACAAGAAGTAAAGACATATCTAGGACCCTTGTCCTTCTGGATCCACGCTTCCTTCAGGGTCTTCATCATTATAAATGTTCTCTGCCTGCCCAAAAACAAGAAAAAGAATTTAGTAAACATGAAGACTTCTTCTAAAACTCAAGGTTTCAACAACAGATTAAGCCAGGAAACCAGACAGTAAATACTTTATAGCTTTTGGGCCACACAGTCTGTGTTATAACTATTCAACTCTGTTGGATGAAAGCATCCGGAGACAACCTATAATGGGTAATGAAGTATTAATTAGCATGACCATGTTCCAGTAAAAACAGGCAGGTGGTCCACAGGCCCCTGATTAGGACATTCCCACAAAACTGAAGTGTGGATACTATTTGTCTTGATAGCCAACATTCTTGAGTTCTTTAACCAGGCATTATTATTCTTTCCTTTTGAGATGGAGTCTTGCTCTGTCTCCCAGGCTGGAGTGCAGTGGCACCATCTCGGCTCACTGCAACCTCCGCCTCCCAGGTTCAAGCAATTCTCTTGCCTCAGTTTCCTGAGTAGCTAGGATTACAGGCGCATGCCACTATGCCTGGCTAATTTTTGTATTTTTAGTAGAGATGGGGTTTCACCATATTGGCCAGACTGGTCTCAAATTCCTGATCTCAGGTGACCTGCCTGCCTCGGCCTCCCAAAGTTCTAGGATTACAGGCGTGAGCCACTGTGCCTGGCCTAACCAGACATTATTAATAGCCCAAAAGTAAAACAATCCAAATATTCATCAACTAATAACATGGATACATGATATATCCAATCCATATGATGGAATATTATTTGGCAATAAAAAAGCCAGTGAGGCCAGGTGCAGTGGCTTATGCCTGCAATCTCAGCACTTGGGAAGCTGAGGCAGATGGATTACTTGAGGTCATGAGTTCGAGATCAGCCTGACCAACATGGTGAAACTGCATCTCTACTACAAATACAAAAATCAGCCAGGTGTGGGGGTGCACACCTGTGGTCCCAGCTACTTGGGAGGCTGAGACATGAGAATTGATTGAACCTGGGAGGTGGTGGTTGCAGTGAGCCAAGATTGCACCACTGCACTCCAGCCTGGGTGGCAAAGCGGGACTGTGTGCCAAAAAAAAAAAAAAAATCACACACTTTATGATTTTATTTATATAAGGTGTCCAGGCCAGGTGTGGTGGCTCACGCCTGTAATCCCAGCACTTTGGGAGGTCAAGGCGGGCGTATCATCTGAGGTCAGTTCAAGACCAACCTGGTTAACATGGTGAAATCTCCGTCTCCACTAAAAATATAAAAATTAGCCAGGCGTGGTGACAGGCGCCTATAATCCCAGCTATTTGGGAGGCTAAGGCATCAGGCAGCTTGAACACAGGAGGTGGAGGTTGCAGTGAGCCGAGATCACCACACTGCAGCCTGGGAGTCAGACTTCGTCTAAAAAAAAGGTGTCCACACCAGGCAAATCCATAGCTTCTTGGCTGCCTAGGGCTGGGGGACTATGAGTGTGGGGAAAAGAGAGATCAGACTGTTGCTGTGTCTATATAGAAAGTAGTAGACATAAGAGACTCCATGTATTTGAGATGCTGTTGATCTGTGAACACTACCCCCAACCTTGTCCTTGCAAGAGACATGTGCTGTGGAGACTCAAGTTTTAACGGATTTTGGGCTGTGCAGGGTGTGCTTTGTTAAACAAGTGCCTGAAGGCATTACGCTAGCTAGAGAAAAATCACCACCACTGTCTTAATCTCAAGTACCCAGGGACACGTACACTGCCAAAAGGTCGCAGGGACCTTTGCCTAGGAAAGCTAGGTATTATCCAAGGCTTTTCCCCATGTGATAGTCTGAAATATGGCCTCATGGGAAGGGAAAGACCTGATCGTCCCCCAGCCTGACACCCATGAAGGGTCTGTGCTGAAGAGGACTAGTATAAGAGGAAAGAAGGCCTCTTGGCAGTTCAGATAGAGAAAAGCATCTGTCTCTTGCCCGTCCCTGGGCAATGGAACATCTTGGTAAACCCAATTGTATGTTGTTTACTGAGAAAGGAGAAAACTGCCTTGGGGCTGAAGGTGGGATGTGCAAGGGGCAATGCTGCTCTTTATGCACTAAAAAGGTTTATGGAGATGTTTGCATATGCATATCAAGGCACAGCACTTTTCCTTAAACTTATTCATGTCACAAAGATCTTTATTCATATGTCTTACTGCTGACCTTCTCCCTCCAATGATCCTATTATCCTGCCACTTCCCTTTTTCTAAGATGGTAAACATCAATAAATACTGAGGGAACTCAGACCGGTGCCAGCGTGGGTCCTCTGTATGCTGAGCGACGGTCCCCTGGGCCACTTTTTCTTTCCCTATACTTTGTCTCTTTGTCTCATTTCTTTTCTCAAGTCTCTTGGTTCCACCTAACGAGAAACGCCCACAGGTGTGGAGGGGCAGGTCACCCCTTCAATTAGAAAAATAGGAAATGATGGGTACAGGGTTTCTTTTTCAGATGAGGAAAATGTTCTCAAATTGACTGTGGTTGATGGCTGCACAACTGTAAATACACTGAAGACTGAACTGCACACTTAAAACTTCCAAAATAAGATGTCTTTATATATTTATATCTTTATATATTTAAGAGAAAACCTGTTCTTGTATAGAATAAACTCTACTTCTACTGCTTGACAGAATACCTGTGTCCAATGGCATAATCTTAAAATACAGGCACCACTTTCACAGGAGCAAAATTTACTCTTAGCACCTACTATGCACAAATCACTATGATAGGTACTACAGAGGATGGGACAGTCTTACCTTCAAAGAACTTGTGATCTGACCCCAGAGAAAAAAAATACATACAATTGTGTGATCCTTTCTGATGCCACTTCTAATGGCAAATGTGGGGTGCCTTTTCTCATGACACCAACCGGGTGTACGACTCAATCCTATTCTGACACTACCTGAAGTTAGCTTTGGAGAGACCGTCCTTACTTCAGAAGTCAGTTTCAAGTCGTTGGTCCCAGGCTACCTGCACACTTCTATCCCACTTGACTACAAATTTTAGGGTTCCCACTACTGCCTCCTCAGGTCTGATAATTTGATGCAATGACTCACAGAACCGAAGAAAGCTTTTTACTATTACTGTTTTTTTTTTTTTTTTAAATAAAGGATGCAGCTGAGGAACCACATGGAAGAGATGCATAGGGCAAGGTGGGGAGGGGTTGCAGAGTTTCCATGAAGTCTCTGGGCATGCTACCCTCCCAGTCTGTCAACGAGTTGTTCAGCAACCAGGAAGCACATCAAATTAAGAGTTTTTACAGAGTTCAATCTCTAGCCCTGCGACCCCAAGGCTGGTGAGTGGGCTGACAAGTTTTAACCCTCAAATCAAGTAACTGGCCTTTCTGACTAAAGTCACTATGAGGCTATCTAGCAGCCCCACTAAAGTCACCTCACAGTAGAACAAACTCAGGTGTGGTCCAAAGTGGATCACCAGGAACAACAAAGATACTTCTAGCACTCTGCAAACTCCAAGTGTTTTTGGGGAGCTCTGTGCCAAGAACTGGGACAAAGACCAATACTTACTTACTCTATTACAATGCTAAAATCACCAAATAAAGTAACAACCTGGAATGGAGGTGATGGCCTTGCAGGGATCTAGTTTAATCTTGAGCTCTTCAGTTTTTTGTTTTTTTTTTTTTGAGACAGGGTCTTGCTCTGTCACCCAGGCTGGAGTGCAGCGGTGCCATCTTAGCTCATAGCAATCTCTGCCTCCTGGGATCATGCCATCCTCCCACTTCAGCCTCCCAAGGAGCTGGGACTACAGGTACATGTCACCATGCCCAGTTATTAAGTTTTTGCATTAATATTGAAGGGATTTATTAAAAAGAGTGAGGTGAATTTTTTGTTCTCAAGTTACTATCTTTTTCGTAAAAGAATTACAATACAGAAAAGTATAAAGAAACCAAGAACAAAGTACCAACCACATTTTAGCAAACACCTTTTTTTTTGAGACGGAGTTTTGCTCTTGTTGCCCAAGTTGGAGTGCTATGGTGCCATCTTGGCTCACCGAAACCTCTGCCTCCTGGGTTCAAGCAAGTCTCCTGCCTCAGCCTCCCAAGTAGCTGGGATTACAGGCGCCCATCAGCATGCCTGGCTAATTTTTGTATTTATTTTTTAGTAGAGACGGGGTTTCACTATGTTGGCCAGGCTGGTCTCGAACTCCTGACCTCAGCTGATCTGCCCACCTCGGCCTCCCAAAGTGTTGGTATTACAGGCATGAGCCACCACACCTGCCAGCAATCAGCTTTCTAAATACAGACTAGATACACAAAATTTCAATATGAAGAATACCATTATGCTATTCTTCAGTCTGCTCTTCCCCTACTTAACAGCACGTCATGAATATCTTATAAGCCTAACTGTACTTCTTTCTTTTTTTCCCTTAGACACCGGGTCTCACTATGTCACCCAGGCTGGAGTGCAGTGGTGTGATCACAGCTCACTGCAGCCTCAAACTCCTGGGCTCAAGGGATCCTTCTGTCACAGCCTCCCAAAGAGCAGGGACTAAAGGCACATGCCACCATGTCTCATAGCAGCCTCCATCCCCTGGATTCAAGGTATCCTCCTGCCTCGGCCTCCCAAGTAGCTGGGATCACAGGCACGTGCCACCAAGCCTGTTTTGGTAGAGACAGGGTCTCACTTTATATTGCCCAGGCTAGTCTAGAACTTCTGGGCTCAAGTGAT